GTAACTGCTGCAGCATTATTAGTGGTTATTGCTGAAAGGCGACCATAACACAGCAACCGCAACATTTGGATTGCTTCTTGGCTACACTTTCAACAATTATGATGAGCAGTCTGCAAAAGAAGGTTGCTCTTAGGAGTTATATCTGTAAAATGGCGATCGTTGCGATACATGCAAGAGATCCAAAGGGAAAGGAAAAATGAAAAAAGTAGATCCGTCCCTCCCCATCACCCCTTCCTCTCTCTCGCTCTCTCTCTTCTTCCTCTTTCTGCTCTCTCTCTCTTCTGCTGATCTCTTCCCTCCTCTCTCATCTCATCTCTCCTCTCTTCCTCTCCTTCGCTCTCATACATCACTTTTCTAGAATGCAACAGACAAATTCGCTGCTGCCACACACACATTCACACACACACTCATTTTGCACACAGATGCGACATCGCCGATTAAGTCTAACGCCGACCGATCGCACACACAGTTTTATTTTCACTCACACAACACTACCCACACAATCATCACACAACACACACCCGGCGCGCGCGCATACGGCACCACGCACGCAACGACACACCACACCACACATTCACACACCACACACACACATCACACACACACATCACACACACACACGCACTCACAGCACGGCACGCACGCAACCACGCACGCACGCACTACACACACACACACACACACACACACAACTATCTTGTCTTTTTCCTTTCCTCTCGCTCTCCTCTTAGCCCTCTCTCTCATCTCTCTCTCATCTCTCTCTCTCAGTCTCGCTCGTATTGTTTTCTCGTCCATTCTCTTCTCTCTCAAGTCTCTCTCTCGTCAAGTCATCTCGATCAGCTCTCTCTTCCTTCTATTGCAAGATTTTATCTATTCCATCCATATCCACCAATTCCATTCCATTCTCCATACCATCCCATTACTCATCTATCTATCTATCTAGTCTAATCATATCATACACTATCATCTATCTATCTAGGTCTATCATCTAATCCTACGTATCTATCTATCTTATCTAATCTAACTATCTATACTATCTATCTATCTAATCTATCATATCTATCTATCTATCTATCTACTTCTGTCTGATCTATCTATCCTATCGATCTATCTATTTATCTATTCTACTACTATCCTATCTAATCTAATCTATCATCTATCTATCCACCTATCTAATCTATCTATCCTATAGCAATCGATTATATATATATATATAATATATATATATATATATATGGTATACGGTATATGTTTTTAGCACGGTTGAATTATTTGCTGATTTCGTGGGGAAATTGGCGTGGTAGCCACACACATGAAAACAGGTGTTACTGCTTGTTTCCCACACGTAACGTTGAGTAAAGCGCAAATCCTGCTTAAAAGACAATCGTTGGGGATGATTTCGGCGTCGAGTGGGATTTCTTAGGCATAGCGATGGCAGTAGCGACAGCTGCAAACGCCAGCGTGACCCTACAGCGCAATTTCTCCTCTTTGTGAAATCGGTCGACGCAGTTTGAAAAGTTTGGAGTTGGTCTAAATTGCGTCACGGTGTGGACCGAGCGGGGGAATACGGGTGGGCCGTAGCATTATATAGTATAAGTGTATATTATTAGCGTCGCTACGCGCCGGGTGCGATAAATGCCATCAACGTTTCTTTGGCGAGGCAAGTCACACATGTGGCGTTTGTAAGGCGGTTCTCTTGTGACGTTTACTGTTATACCGACAGGCTATCTCGCAAGGCACCTCCGCTATAACACATACATAGCGACTTTAACCTTAGACTTATTTATCAAGATTATGTACCACCATGCATAAAAACACAGACGGACGACAAAAACATACTGTCATCTTGCTTGTAAGAGAAACAAATGTCATCTGTTATTTTATTTTATGATACTTTCCACCTTTTGCACGGGGATTGCTCTAATGAAGATTAAACGTTTATTGGCGAATGCATCGAATCAATCACTTGTTTTATTTATAGAGGAGATATATCTCTATGCTCAAGCCAAAAAATGTCATGAAATTTCCTGCACCTAATTATGTTACCACACAAATTTTAATTTTTATGTAAAAATGGTATTTTGGATATTTCTCAACTACCAGAAAGAGTGAGGATACAAAATTTTTGCCACATGTTAAGCACAATATACACCAAAATAGTGCGTCAGGATTTTTCTTTAAGTTTCATATTTACCGAGAAAAATGGAAAAATGTTAGAATTGAAAATTTTAGCGAATAAAGAGGCATAACTAATAAAATACGGCACTTAATAACAATCCCTGGCGCACTATTTTATAGCAATATGTTCTCATTAAAACGAGTGTAAAATTAAATTAATCCGAGTTGTAATCACAGAGAAATATCCATTTATACATTGGCTACTATGTCAGAAATAGAAACGGAGAAATCAGCGTTTTTATATTTTTTACAATAATTGACCGCCTGTGTGCAAAATGGGTGAACGTATGTGAAATATCTACTGTTAGTACTTACTGCGACATATCCATGACTATAACTGACACCACTAAATTGGTAATATGTTCCATGCACCTTGAGAAATTGTGAGAAATTACGAGGTTACCGCCGCACTTTCGTGCAAAACGCGCGTACGATGTGTACTGCATGCCGTTAGTAAGCTATGTGTCAACAGACGCGCCTAAATGCAATGTGTGTAATACAAGGGAAACGGGGCTATTTTCGGTCGCGCGGCAATTTCAACTATCACTGGCAGATGACAACTGTAGGAGGGTTGATACTGAATGATACTGGCTTAGTGAATATCATAAAAAATTCTGGTTGTATCATGTCTCTGACTTGATCAGTGACGTCAGCTGCTGTTCACTACACGTGTACGCGGGCAATCAAAACGCTCTAAAAGTTCACATGTACCGTTATATGGAAAAATGAGCATATACAGAGCTGAGGTGGCACATAGTGTTAGCCATCGAATGAAGTCAAAAATAAAAAATCGGTAAAATTTTGCCTAAAACCTTGAGGATGTATTTTAGCATGTTTCCAGGATCGACTACAGAACAAAGATCGTTACGGCTCGCATGGAAAGTCTCTCTGCGAAAATGTTTTGCTGTTATACACTCATTATTCATTTATTACACATATTTAATACATTTATTTATAATATATTTATGTTATACACTTATTATTTATTTATTACACTTATTTAATACACTTATTTATTACTTTACTAACGTTCGGTCGATTGGTTTGGTCGTTTGGTCACTTGTCAGATTTCAATTAATTTACAATTTAAATGACTATATGTAAATCTGCAAACAGATTTATGCGTTAATATTTAGGCATGGAAACTGTTTAGTGTATGTGGCGGAGCCCACAGCCCCACAAAACACATTTAAATTTATTTAACTACAAAAGCGAAGCTAAAGTAAAGCTAAAATTTCCCTCACATCCAATTAGTTTTCCTCGTATTTAATCAAAAGGAAATTACTAGGCACAATTTATCTAATCTATTGACTTACAATCTATTGATACCATCGCCGTAATTTGCTGAAAATTCATGGTCAGTGCGCAAATGACAAACTATCGCGCTAACCTATCATTTAATCGCGAGTAAGCATCGCGCGAATATACTGCCATATATGAAAATAACCCACTATTTCCATCATTAGTACCCAATTACGCCATCCGTCGCTAGACCGCCTCGTTATTCTAGATGTGCCTACGTGTCACTTTGACTGATGTAATCATCGTACTGCGTCCTGTATCCGGCCGCCTTCTGATTGATTTCAATGCGCGCGCGCGGGCGGCGAAGCAGATAGGCTCGTCGAAACCGCAGCACTTGCGATTATCATGAGCTGTCGCGACAGTTTTTTTTGCCGCATATCAAGATGTTCGCAACGGCCAAGGCCAGCGTGAACAACATGGAGAGCGTGTATTGATGTCCGTCATAGTCAACACGTATGCCCTCCCCCTTCCAACAACACACACGATAAGCGTGTAATGGTTAGCGTTGGTGATACGCGTTTATATCCAGTTGGCTTCCCTCGCCGAAGTTATGACACTATCGAGATGTTGTTAGTGAGTACGTGTCTACGAGACAAAGAGAATTCACGCGGCTGCCGACAACTATGGCTACAGCAGCGTAAAATATAACGCGTCGTGAGGGGATACGGCGCGGCTTCACGCGCCGAGCGCTTCGCAAATAGTTCGCTCCTTTGTAGTTATGGCAACCATCACGAGGCCGTCGTAGTCATTCGGGAAGATCCATGCAAAACGACCGTCATGATGACTCGCGCGAATAGCAATAAAATCCATACGAACTCGAAATAATTCACGTACTGAATCGCCTGCTACTCGTCTCGATGAATATTCAGAACAGATGGCAAAAAGAAGTTTGCGCGCGGTGTCGCAACGTTTCACAGCTCGCCTCTAAAGTAGGAGGAATCCCCTTTTTCGTACACGCGTCATTGGGTATTCTACCAGTGATTTCTTCCAGCGTCGCCGCTGTTATAGATGTAGACCATGTGACGTCATAGCATGACAATTTGACCTTGCCGATGAATCTACACAGCACCGTCGTAATTCCCGCAAGACTGGCGCGCGCAGCAGTGACACATATAGACTGTGTTCTCACATGTCCTCCGGGATGCTCATGGGTAAACATCATTCGGAAAACGAAAATGCCTGAATGCAAATATTATCTTTCCATATAGAGTCTTCACCGGTGTCGATGCAGCACCGTGCTTAGCTATCAACGTAATTACGTTGGTTAGCTTTGGAAATGCGACGCAGCCGCACTATATAACTATATGGCTGTATATATACGAGCTGTTCTGCGTTGTGCAGCTACAGCATACGGCTAATGCATTTGCTGCCTCAATCATGGCATTCACTCCCTGAAAGCAAGCAGCCTTTAGATGGACTCGCCTGATTGCACGTGAAGCTACGACGCTTCTCACAGGCACGCGCACCGCGCCTGTTTCGATTTCTTTTTTTTTCAATTACGACCCCTGTTTCTGTTGCAGCGAGAAGAAGCAGCAGCACACCGGGCCTCGTGGAGACCTCTGGCCGCCAGACGCTCGAGTCGCCCACCAGGCGGCCGACGCTGCCAAGCACACCAATCCTGCCTTACCGAGTGTCCGAAACCAGCGACGACGACGACCGCAAGGCCGCAAACTCGTCGAACAACAACAACAACAACGCCAACAGCGCCGCCGCCGCCGCCGCCGCCGCGCCGTCGTCGCCGTGCGAGTCGACGTCGACGTGTCAGCCGTCGGGGTCGTCGAGCTGCGCCGCACCGAAGGGGAACGGCCACCAGAGGGCGCGCGGGAGTCGTGGAGGCCGGCAGGCGGCGCATCGGTCGCCGCCGGCCTCGGGCGCGTTACTCGATTCGAATAGCGCGGAGGACGCGTGCGAGGGTGGCGCCGCAGCACGGCGGGCGTCAGGGGCTGAACAGGCCTGCGCCTCTGGCCTCAGCGATACGTCCGACGTCAGCGACCAGGCGTCGCAGCGGCACTGCCCGACGTCGCTCTTGCCGACGACGCGTTACCAGCCTGCGGCGACGCCCGCCGGCACCTTCAGCGACCCTCTCAACGTGCGCGCCTTTCAGGGACAGCCGAAGACGCCGTCGTCGCCCGTCGATCTGTCGCAGGAGGTACTGCTCGCCGAGATACGGCGTCTGCGCGAGCGCATCGTCACGCTGGAGACGCGAAACACGTCGATGAACCTAAAGCTCTCGCAACAGCAGTGGGAGGTCGAGCATAGACTCTCCGAAATCGAGATGCAAATATGCGGTAGTGACAGCGCCGCGAGCGTAAGTGGCAGCGAAGAGCGAACCGCCGCTGGCAGCGCCACCGGTGGCAGGACGTGACAGGTTGCGATGGAATGAGTGACAGCGAGGAGTGAACCGTCAGGTGGCAGCACCACCGGTGGCAGGACGTGACAGGTTGCGATGGAATGAGTGACAGCGAGGAGCGAACCGTCAGGTGGCAGCACCACCGGTGGCAGGACGTGACAGGTTGCGATGGAATGAGTGACAGCAAAAAGCGAACCGTCAGGTGGCAGCACCACCGGAACGACATTAAGAGCCCGACGTAACGGGCTCCGTCGCATGAATGCATTGGCTCAATGTTTGAGCATATCAAAAAGAAATAATCAACGACAATAACCACGACATCGGTGGCAAGACCGTAGCGAAAGTGTCTGGGATGACATACAAGATCCTGATACACGGCAGACAGTGCAGAGATTGCACGTGGCTAGTACGTCGTCAAATTCATTTGAGAAAATTCACCTCACCCAGTAATTGACTATAAGAGAACTGTGGGTGGGGTGCAGCAGCCCATGTCCGACAGACATTTGCACCCTGCTTACTGTAACGACCTATTTCTAATGAACACGTATAAAGAAACAGCGTGAGTGTTTGTGAGACGCTTGCTTAAGAGCAATGGTTTCATTAATTTAATGGATTCTATGGTCGAACATTCATAATATTATAGAACTCTACACTGCATCAGTGAGCATTTTTGTAGGTCGTTTGATGTTCAGTAATTTTATATTCAGCCACGTACGACGGCGTGCCAGTTCAGTGTTCGTGTCTTCAGCGATATCACTAAATTAAGCAGAACGCTATAACGTTCTGCATATGACGACAAATTGATGCGTGCAAGCTACCAACCGCATTCCCAGATGTAAATGTTTTTAAACATAGTTATTCATAATTATATTTCCCAAAAGGTAACGCCTACGTGACATACGCAATAAACCTGCCAAGAGTCATGGGAAACTCACCTGCACTGATGAGACATCAGTCTCAAAAAAGACACCAGAGGGAATTGCGAGTTAGAAAGATGGTACCCATCCTGAACTTTACAGATATTATTAATATAACGAAAAGGAGGCAGTATAGGCTCCTGGGACATTCAGTGGTAGACGCAACGTCTTGAACTTGTCAGCTATATCGGTATTTGTCGGCTATGTCGGCTTTTCGTACAAACGCGCCTTCGATTCACCCTCAGTGACCGCTACACTGCTGCGGCTACATTCACATGTCATTACTCTTCATCTCAAACTCACACTCATCGTTTGTGAATATAAGCGCTCACGTGGATGCATGTTATCTGTTAATACTGGCACGTGTAAATGTGCACGTTTAAATCGTGTTTGCTCGAATAGGTTTCGTAATTTAGGGCCAACCAAGGAAGATTGCGCGAGAATTCTCACTTGTGTTTTTGTACCCGTTTAGCAGCATCAGACAACCTCCATTGTAAAAACCGTGGGTGCAAATTACAGGTGATGCAGTTCTTTAACTTTGAAACTTTCAGCTTGTTCTGCTAGCATTTATGACAAATACGACATACGCATATACGCTCTCCTATGACACTATTTGTCATAGGAAGATTCTACCTATGACAAATATTGTTGTATGTGTTGTGTGCATCATAGGAGTTTACGAGCGCTATTATGAACGCAAGCAGTGAATTTCAGCTGTAAAGCGGAACGAAGTTGACTTGCCAATATTTGCCATCGGAAGAATCTTCTTATGACAAATAGTGTTATAGGAGAGCGTATATGCGTATGTCGTATTTGTCATAGATGCAAGCAGAACATGTTGTTTACATCTAGTGCGCACAGCGCATTGTACTTCTCTCCCAAGAAGCGGCTGGACATGTGAGACTTCTTTATTCATATCGAATGTGCATTAGCATACATAATAAAAAAAATTATGGCAAGAAGAGATTTATGCTTCATCGCTTTCCTGGTGAGAGTTCTCGTGATGCAGACGCAGTGATTTCTACTAGCGATTGCAATTTTGTCGCGCACTCCGCTCGCATCCTGTGGCTACACACTTTACGCGCTGAAAAAAAAAGTTGCGAAATTTCTCGAATTTCGAGCGAGATTGGGACGACGAGCAAAAAGATTTCCAACTCTTGCCGACGACTAAAACACATTAGTTAGGATTCGTCGTCGAGTTTACGTTTGGAATGTAAATAGATGAGCTCTGGTGTAGCGTTGCAGCCTAACAGCAGGCGACCGTACGCACATCTACACGTCAGGCGCCGTTCAGCAAATTTCCTCGTGGTTAGCAGAGTTTTTCGCTTCATCATCGCTGTGGGGAGTCAGTGAGAACACTCTGTTTGTTCTCACAATCGCACGCACGCACAACGCACGCACGCACGCACACACACACACACACACACACACACACACACACACACACACACACACACACACACACACACACACACACACACACACACACCTACACACACACACGCGCGCGCGCGCGACGCCGTCAGAAGTAGAAAAACCCGGCATGCGTTCGTACGCGCACGTAGAATGACGTAAATGTAATAATTCCATAACCGAACGAACCGCAAAACGGATCGCCGCTACCTATTCAGCAATGACACAAATACGCAAACCGTGCATTGCGCTGAGCTCGACGACGGGCAGAAACACTTGCAAATCATATCGAACTTCTATCGAACGCAACACAATTTTTCTATAGGGTTAATATACAACTCCACTTTCCTTCTTCTCAGACGCGTATGCGTTCACTCTACCCTTTAATAGTATTTATTCAGCTACGGGCGTGTGTTTGCCTATCATTATCAGAGATTATTAAGAGCAACGCTATATGCATCACACTTTTGTGGTTATTTCTCTCATGGAAATCGAAAAGGGCGCTTCGCGAAACGTTATCCATGTTGGGAAACTGCATGAGCTACTGCTTTTATATGACGAAATTCCGTGATATACATGAATAGCTTAGAATCGACGGTGTAGAAACGTTAATACACAAGGTAAGGGCATAATCGCTACGTGCGATTCTGATGGACATAAAATATCATCCGGTGCAAGTAGTGATACAGTAGCAAATTGTAAAGAAAATCACACTCAGAAATGCGAAAGCATAAGAAAACTATAAAGTAACCTTCATTTCACAGCAAGGAAACGCACATTTTTGCTGTACGTATACTGTGTTTCACATTAACCCTAATTCTCGTGATTCTAGTACCTCTTTAAAACGCCCAAGTTTGCGCAAAACTAGCAATGTTTACTTGTCGGTGTAGAGAAGCCCAATCCAATCAGAGCCATTATTCCGCCACGCGTTGCAGCAGATAATTGCTCTGGGAACAGCAGATAGGTTATGGGCTGTTACCGGCGTAGATTCCACATCATTATTCATTTCCTCGCCTTTTATAAAAACCGCGCCGAAGAAGTACACATTTATCTTTCTTAAGATAGAGTTAAATTTATTTAAATACCGATTTATTTAGGGCTCTGAGTCACGTCATCACAAACTATGTTATTTGCGCACCATAAATTAACGTTTTTAATGGATTGGTGCTTCACAGCCAATTAGAGCGAAGTGTCTATATTTCGCTATCGTGCTCATAATATTAAGTTTTACGCTGGGGAAAATAAATTCATCAATCAGCCACTTCCCTGAAAATTCTACCATTTCTGAGGTTTTGATAGAGAACGTTATAACCAATCGGATGCCGACACAGCTATCAATGCTTTACGGCCAGCGGACGCATTTTTACAGCGATAAAAAATATCGACCAGGAAAGCGTCATATTTTGCACTGGGAAAGGGTTGAAGGCCGCGGGACGAAAACACAACAAGTAAATTAATCATTTTAGCAATAAAAAGACAACATTATTTGCGCGGAAATAGTAGGTGGTAGTGATGGCGCGTATATGCATTTGCTCGTTTCCGTTCTATATAACTCATTGTTACTGAGATTCTACAGGCTACCATAAATTGTAATAAGTGCTCTGAATAAAGATTAGGCGCATGCTTTTGTGGTTATGTGACAGTGCATAGACATTATGTGGGAAAATGACAGCACCACACACGCATTTACGCACGCACGCACGCACGCATGCATGCATCTATACGTCCATAGGCACGAATTCACGCGCGCAGGTTCACAGGCACGCACGCATACCATAGTTGCACTTCACTTGCTGCGGTTGTGATACATAAAAGAAATCAGCGATGTGTCATATGAACGATTCAGCGTCGCAAATGAGCGCGACTTCCTGCATTAGCAAAGGCCCTTCGCTCACCTGTCGCGTGTTCCCAAGTAATCGATAAATTCTCTTTAAGAACGTTTTTTCCGGATCACGCTCATCTGTACAAACAGGATTGTGTCAGGCT